CTCAGTAAATGCAGAGAAAGCTTCCGACAAAATTCAACACCCATTTATGATAAAAACCCTCGAGAAAGTAGGCATAGAGGGAACTTACCTCAACATAATAAAGGCCATATATGACAAACCCACAGCCAGCATCATCCTCAGTGGTGAAAAACTGAAACCATTTTCACTAAGATCAGGAAGAAGACAAGGTTGCCCACTCTCACCACTATTATTCAAAATAGTTTTGGAAGTCTTAGCCATAGCAATCAGAGAAGAAAAAGAAATAAAAGGAATCCAAATCAGAAAAGAAGAAGTAAAGCTGTCTCTGTTTTCAGATGACATGATACTACACATAGAGATTCCTAAAGATGCTACCAGAAAACTACTAGAGCTAATCAATGAATTTGGTAAAGTAGCAGGATACAAAATTAATGCACAGAAATCTCTTCCATTCCTATACACTAATGATGAAAAATCTGAGTGTAAAACTAAGGAAACACTCCCGGGCTTCCCTGGTGGCGCGGTGGTTGAGAGTCCGCCTGCCGGTGCAGGGGACATGGGTGTATGCCCCGGTCTGGAAGGATCCCACATGCCGCGGAGTGGCTAGGCCCGTAAGCTATGGCCGCTGAGCCTGTGGGTCTTGAGACTGTGCTCTGCAATGGGAGAGGCCACAACAGTGAGAGGCCCGCATACCGCAAAAAGAAGAAAAAAGAGAAAGAAAACACTCCCATTTACCACTGCAGCAAAAAGAATAAAATACCTAGGAATAAACGTACCTTAGGAGAGAAAAGACCTATATGTAGAAAAGTATAAGACACTGATGAAAGAAATTAAAGATGATACAAACAGATGGAGAGATATACCATGTTCTTGGATTGGAAGAATCAACATTGTGAAAATGACTCTACTACCCAAAGCAATGTACAGATTCAATGCAATCCCTATCAAACTACCACTGGCATTTTTCACAGAACTAGAACAAAAAATTTCACAATTTGTATGGAAACACAAAAGACCCCAAATAGCCAAAGCAATCTTGAGAAAGAAAAATGAAGCTGCAGGAATCAGGCTCCCTGATTTCAGACTATACTACAAAGCTACAGTAATCAAGACAGTGTGGTACTGGCACAAAAATAGAAATATAGATCAGTGGAACAGGATAGGAAGCCCAGAGATAAACCCATGCACATATGGTCACCTTATCTTTGATAAAGGAGGCAAGAATATACAGTGGAGAAAAGACAGCCTCTTCAATAAGTGTTGCTGGGAAAACTGGACAGGTACATGTAAAAGAATGAAATTAGAACACTCCCTAACACCATACACAAAAATAAACTCAAAATGGATTAAAGACCTAAATGTAAGGCTAGACACTATAAAACTCGTAGAGGAAAACATAGGCAGAACACTCTATGACATGAATCACAGCAAGATCCTTTTTGACCCACCTCCTAGAGAAATGGAAATAAAAACAAAAATAAATAATTGGGACCTAATGAAACTTAAAAGCTTTTGCACAGCAAAGGAAACCATAAATAAGATGAAAAGACAACCCTCAGCATGGGAGAAAATATTTTGAAGCAACTGACAAAGGATCAATTTCCAAAATGTACAAGCAGCTCATGCAGCTCAATGTCAAAAAAACAAACAACCCAATCCAAAAATGGGCAGAAGACCTAAATAGATATTTCTCCAACTAAGGTATCCAGATTGCCAACAAACACATGAAAGAATGCTCAACATCATTAATCAGTATAGAAATGCAAATCAAAACTACAATGAGATATCATCTCACACCGGTCAGAATGGCCATCATCAAAAAATCTACAAACAATAAATGCTGGAGAGGGTGTGGAGAAAAGGGAACCCTCTTGAACTGTTGGTGTGAATATAAATTGATACAGGCACTGTGGAGAACAGTATGGAGTTTCCTTAAATAACTAAAAATAGAACTGCCATACAACCCAGCAATCCTACTACTGGGCATATACCCTGAGAAAACCATAATTCAAAGAGAGTCGTGTACCACAATGTTCATTGCAGCTCTATTTATAATAGCCAGGACATGGAAGCAACCTAAGCATCCATTGACAGATGAATGGATAAAGAAGATGTGGCACATATATACAATGGAATATTACTCAGCCATAAAAGGAACGAATTTGAGTTATTTGTAGTGAGGTGGATGGACATAGAGTCTGTCATACAGAGTGAAATACGTCAGAAAGAGAAAAACAAATAGCATATGCTAACACATATCTATGGAATCTAAAAAACAAACAAAAAACAATGGTCATGAAGAACCTAGGGGCAAGACTGGAATAAAGATGCAGACCTACTGGAGAGTGAACTTGAGGATATGGGGAGGGGGAAGGGTAAGCTGCCACAAAGTGAGAGAGTGGCGTGGACATATATACACTACCAAATGTAGGGTGGGGAGCTGGGGGGGGGGGGGGAAGGGAGATGCAAGAGGGAAGAGGTGTGGGGATATATGTATATTTATAACTGATACACTTTGTTATAAAGTAGAAACCAACACACCATTGTAAAGCAATTATACTCCAATAAAGATGTTAAAAATAATAATAAAATAAAAAATAAAGATACACATTCATAAAAAAAAGGATAAATGCACATGCTCATATACCTACGTGTACACTGGCAATCTCCTACTTAGAAATACTTAAGGGTGACCCGATTGTAAATAATTATATCAGGAAGCCCACATTCCTGGCATCTGTTCCCCTTATGGGAAATTATTCTCCAGGTTAGAATATCTGAGGTGAGTGCTCTAAAGAAGTACATTCTGTTTCAGAGATTAGAGATTTGCCTTGACCTAGGACATGTAGGAGTAAGAACTCAGAGGTTTAATAAGGGTCTGTCCTCTCACATCCTCAATATGAAGACAAACTCATCAATGCCTGCCAGTATGTAGTTGCGGGTTAAAGTGTATTCTTGATTCTGAGATTCATTTTCCCTCAAAAACAATTTTCTAAATCCTCCAATTTAGTGTTTGCCCTTGACCAAAGGTCAGTATTTGTTAAATAAATGCATTTTGAGATATAGATCACATGAGTCCGTTAGTCCTAAACTTCAAGTATGCAAGCTCTTATGGTCAGACATGAAACACCATTTACAATTTACTTTCCATGGGAAACTGTATTCTAGATTAGAAGATAGAGATAAAACTTCCAAACAGTAGGAATAACAGCGTTTGATGATAAATTTCCAACTTAGAAAGAACTTGTGTTCTAAAAAGTTATTTTGGAGCAGAAATAATATATAACTTATAACCCTTTAGAAGCCCAGTGAAGTCTTAGAGTAGGAAGAAAGAATGCACTGTCCTTAAGATTTGTACTTATCCTCTGTTTTCTTCTGTTATTGTAGTATGTTAGGGAACTCCTCTTTTAAGTCAGTGGCAGGGTGATGAGGACAGAATCAACCAATTATTTGACTTGATTTTATATCTTTCTCTTCCTGGAATTTATACAAGTTTCTTTTGTGTTTACTTGAAGTTTTGGGAATTCTTGAAGACATGTAAAGCTCTATCTTACTTTAACTTCCCAGTGTTTGAGTGTTTTTATTGTTAGTTATGCCATTTTATTTTCTTGGAAATGGGTAGTGAACCTATACGTATGTGCCAGGTATGAGGAGGTATCAGTAAGTGTTGTTTAATGAGTGACTCTAAACATGTTTTGTGTGCATATGTATGTATGCATGTTTATGTATTTGCATATATATATACACATACCAACTTGTATATATATTTGTTAAACTGTGTTTCTACTAGATTTAGTTTGCCTATTTTTACCATTTCCACAACTTGTACCATTTGGCATAATAGTTAGATTTTGTAGTGTTTTTTGAACATGTAGTTCCTTAGACTTCCGCATCTCATTTACCTCCACTTTTTCCCGCTAAAAAGGGAATGTTTTGCTAAGATATATTTTATGATATTCTAAACATTCATTTTAAAAGAATAAACTTTGTCAAGTATAGCTTTTGTGAGCCTTATTTTATGACAATTAAGATTACATCTTATTTTGACTTGAACTGCTTAATTTTACAATTGTGTTCGTCTGTGTGGGTGATTGATATTTCTGGTGAATGTGAAATATGTAACGTGTTATTTATTCCATGTTTACTTCTCCAGGAAAATCTCAAACTTAATATTACTGTGTATAATTTTTAAAAAGAAATATATAAATGACTTTTTCTCTTATGATAGGTGAGGGCGCATTATCTAAGCTATTTTTGTATCTGGCTTGGGATTCAGGTAATAGAAGTGAGGTTGATATTTTACCCATGTTCTTCTTGTCATGTGTGTTGGAATAGATTTTTAGTTAAGAACAGATATTTTAATGTATTTGCTTAGTTTTTAGGAGTTTAGGCATATAGCTCAGAATTCCTTGAGAAATGATAGGAAGATTTTCTTTTCACGTTAAATTTCCATTAATGACATTTTTAAAAAGCAGTAAAATCACTCTGTATAATGTTAGAATTTTCAAATACTAAAAGCAAATTTTATCAAAGCAATTCATTTGAGCAAATTCCAGGAAAACATTTTTTTCTCAGTTATGTTCAGGTTATTTTCCAAGTTGCAAAAATAGGACTTTCCTCAAATTCTGAATTCTGATCATCTTGAAAAATGAAATATATTTGAAACCTAAATTCAGAACACACTTTCTTGTTAGCAAGAAAGTCATGCCAAAGATAATAGTAGTTAAAATCTTGTGGAAGACAGATGGTTGCTCTAAGACAGATTTTTTCAGTTTGGATTTTAAATTTGAGCATGATGTTTGCTTTCTTTCTGGGAATACTGGAAAGATTGCTTTGTTTCATCTGCTACATGAATTGATGTCTGCAAAAAAAAAAAAAAAGACAGGCTGACAAACACTGAATAATTAGAATTTGTTAGTTTTTCTTAGAGACCCATTTATTTCAGAATGTCTAAAATAACATTAGGCAAATGTCTTCTGTCTTATATTGCATGTGCTGTTATTTTCTCCTACTTTCTTCAGACATCTCGTGGGGAATTTGACTCCAGTGAATTTGAAGTTAGGAGACGTTATCAAGATTTCCTTTGGTTGAAAGAAAGACTTGAAGAAGCACACCCCACTCTGATTATTCCAGTAAGTTTACATTTTTTTTTCACAGAATAACTGCCATTTTGTCTTGTGAATCGTTAGAATGCCTAACACCCAATTTCAGACCTTTTAATTCAGTATAATTCATTTATCTTAGGAACATTTGTTTTTAAACTTTTCAATCTATGTACAGATTTGTTTTTTTAAAGTATTGTAATGTGTTAAGATTTTAGTGTTTGGCTCTAGCATTGTGAATTTTGAAAAATTATTTTTATAAGAAATGATCACACGTTCAGATAATCTTCCAAAAAGAAAAAGTGTAGAATTCCTTTTAATCCTGTGCCACATAATGTTCAGATACCTTTTTAAATTTTTTTGCCCTAGCCATTGCCAGAAAAGTTTATAGTGAAAGGAATGGTGGAACGCTTTAACGATGACTTCATTGAGACACGCAGGAAGGCATTGCATAAATTTTTGAACCGAATTGCTGATCATCCAACTCTAACATTTAATGAAGACTTTAAAGTTTTTCTTACTGCACAAGCTTGGGTAAAGGATTTTGATTTATACTCATATAATCCTTTAGTATCTATACGTGTAGTAGGTTGTATGCTTTCTCTTATTTACCTTTATAAATCAGGTAAGAGTGGCCTCGAATTAAGATGTGTTTTTAAACATTGGAGAGAGATCCTTCAGATACAACCCTGTGTCACGTCTACGTATAAACATTATGAAAATCTTGTACCTTTCTCACCTATACATCCTCATATTTCTCTTGGTAGCTGAATTTTTTTTTTAATGCCTGGGTACTCCTTGCATATATTGCCAATACTGAAAATATATAAACATTTAAAAATTGACACTGTTTTGAGTAGTAATTGGTCAGGGCTTTTCGAGTTAGAATAAAAGATTTTATTAAATAGATGGATGGATGGATGGAGAGATAGGTAAATAATATAATTTCCTTACTTTCCCTTCAATTACCTAATTGAAGGGGGTCTAATTTCTAATACAGAAACCTTATATGTTCCTTTTCTTTTATTCTATGAAGATGTAACTCACCAAGAAAGATGATAGGTAGAACAATAGTCAGTATTAAATACTTACCAGTGTTGAGTTTTCTATCTCTCGGTTGTTGCCAAAGTGATCGAAGCTAAAAAGTGATTCATCTCAATCTTGACGGTACTTGCTGTCTGGAAGCCCTATGTAACTTATGTGAGATGAATTTGTGGCCTGACTCCAGACCCTTAGAAGCTGTTAGAAACATTATCTGCAGTCAGCAGTGGCAGTAACAGCTTGCCAGTTGTGACTTGTGCCGTTTCTGATAATGTTTACTCTATCAAATGATGTGGTAGCACTCCTCGATAGACGTGTTGCCTGGTCAAGAATAGCGTCTGTTATTATTTGCACACAAAATCATATTGACATGGAAATAAACAAGTTTATATATTATTTTGTGTAAGACCTTTAGGAAAGAAGATCTGGAGAAAGACAATATGTTGTTTAATATTTGGGTAAATAATACATAATATTTTTATCTGTGGATTTGGTAGTCAGCATTGTTATAGATTTTTTTGTGTGTGTATGTTACTCTTCATCTTTTATTTGATCTCAAACCTGTGTTTCAGTAAGTGCTACAACCATCCTCAGAATCCCTTGTCCTCCTTCTTGGTGTTCTTTTTTAGTATGCCATACTTCTGAAGGAATACTGTAGTGTATCCTTTTATAGCATTTCTACTTTGCAAGTCTGTAGCTGACCCTCCTAAGTTAACTAGAATTAGAAACAGCTAGTTATATATTTTATTAAAAATCTTTCTCCAAAGACAGTCAGCCAGTGGAGATAGTGTCACAGTTTATCCAGTTAAGTTAGTTGCAGAGCTATGGTCAGGGAGTATCTGTTTACCAATTATTCTAGTGACTTTAAGTAGACAAAGCAGGTTAGTGCTTAGCAGTGAAGCCCCTAGGGTCAGACTGCCAGGGCTCCAATCCTTATCCACTAATTCATTGCTCTTGGAACTTGAGCAAACCTTCCTTTGCTTCTATTTTCTTCTGTACAATGAGGATAATAATAGAACCTACTTCATAGTGTTATTATGAGTTATGTATATAAGAATGCAGGTATAGTGCCTGCAACATTAAGCTCTTAATAAATGATAGCTATTATTATAACTAAAGAATTAATGAAGTTTTCCAATTTTTTCCCAGGGAGTAGTTATAGTTAGACCCTAAGAAATCTTTTTCTCAATCATTTTTCTATTAAATTCCTGTTACAAAATATGGATTTCATCTCATATCATCCTTCTTATCTTCTCCAGTAATCTCCTTAAGTGCGATTCCTTCTGTTAAACCTTGTTCTTTGAAAGATCCATGCTCTGAGGAAACATATTTTATATGAGCTCTTTGAAAAGGAATGTTATCAAGGAGACTGAGATTTAGAGAAAGAACTGTACCCTAAACTCATCTGCTTCAAATTAACGTGAAAAATAAAAGACGTATATGAAACATTTTTATTATCTTTATTTTATTCTTCTAATTAGATTTCTTTTTTGTTGTTGGGACTTGGAATATCATTGTCTGCTTCATCACGAATATTTTATTTTTTTGTCTAGGAACTCTCTTCTCACAAGAAGCAAGGGCCTGGATTACTCAGCAGGATGGGGCAGACGGTCAGAGCGGTTGCATTATCAATGAGAGGAGTTAAAAGCCGCCCCGAGGAGTTCATGGAAATGAATAACTTTATTGAAATATTTAGCCAGAAAATAAATTTGATAGATAAAATATCTCAGAGAATTTACAAGGAAGAAAGGGGTATGTAGAATCACTGAAATGTGATTTCGAAGTTGTTTGATTTCTGATGGATCTTTACATTTGCTGGTGTGGTAAGGCAACATCAACTTAGCATTTCTTTTTGGTCATTTTTAGTATTTCTGTCTCTGCTTACAGTGCCTGTCTGTTATTGCATGCTGTTTACTTTATCTATTAGAGCCCTTAACATATTAATGGGTTGTTTTAAAATCCTGGTCTGATAATTCCAACATCTCTACCACATCTGGTTCTGATGCTTGCTCTCTCTTCAAATTGTGTTTTTTGCCTTTTGCTATGTCTTGTAATTTTTTTATTGGTAGCCGGACATGATGTACTCATAAAAGTTAACAGACCTTTAGTAATGTGGCAGTGAGGTGTCGGGGAGAGGAAGTATTCTAGAGGCCTGTGATTAGGTCTCAGTCCTTTAGTGAGTCTGTGCCTCTGGACCGTGAGCTTCACAAAAGTTCAGTTTTTTTTCTTCCCCCTCTTAGTTGGATCAGGATGGGCAGAGTGGGCTCAAGTTGGGTATTTCCCTTCCAGGTCAGTTAGGTTCTGATAATACCCCAGCAGGTTATGCTCTGGTTAACTAGTTTCCCATGAGGGCAGGCCTTGTTGAGAAGGCTATTTCAAAATGGTTCATTTTCCCACCCCCTGCAGGAAGCAGAAGTAGTTTTTATCTGATATTTACTGTGTAAGCTTTTGCGGGTAAATCTCACAGCATTGTGGGGTCCCCTTGTGACTGGGTTCCTCTGGAGTTTTTAACTCTTTGAATTGTCCACACTGAGCCTCCAGCAATTCATCATTGACAGTTTCAGTCTCCCTACCCCCCGGCACTGGTTGCAGAAGTGATTTCCCCTCTTGAGTCTCTGCTCCAGGAAGACAAGATTCCTTGTATCCATGTGTCTGTCTTTTCAGTCTTGCAGGCAGTGGTTTGTACTGTGTCCTCCCCTCTCTCACAGATCCAAAAAAAAGTTGGCTTTTCAGTCTGCTCGGCATTTTTCTTGTTAAGACCAGTGGCAACTTCCAAGCTCCTTACAGAGGAATCACACAACATTAAGTTAGAATTTCACCTTCAAAGTGTGGTTTATTCCCAGATCCATTGTGAACATTTCTGATTCCTAAATGATTTTGAATGTAGTCATGGCCGGTTTCCATTTGCTTTAATTAATCACTAGCTGTCCTGTTCTCATTTATAGATAATAGTGATAAAGAGCTTAATATTTTGGATGTAGTTGGTCTCAAATGTTCAACATGAGCTATAGTTTTAATCAAAGAAGGGATGTGTCAGGAAACAGGGTTTTCACAGTTTCTAGTGATTTTTGTATGGGGGGACAAGTACTCATTAGGCCTGTCCAACCAATGGCAGAGATTTATATGTGGGAAAATAGGTCCTGTTTCCTATTTTCAAGTTAGAATTTATTCCATGATGGAACTTCCCTGGTGGTCTAGTGGCTAACACTCCACGCTCCCAATGCAGGGGTCCTGGGTTCAATCCCTGGTCAGGGAATCAGATCCCACATGCGGCAACTCAAGATTCTGCAACTAAAGATCCTGCATGCTGCAACTAAGACCCAATGCAACCAAACAAATAAATAAATACTAAAAAATAATAATTTATTCCATTATGATTTTTTCTAATTCTATGAGTTTTTGCTAATTTTCTGATTGTATTTACCTACATTAAAAATAGATGACTAATTCAGAAAATATATTTCCTAATATAAATCAGTTTTAGAGATGAACTACTTAAAGTCCCTACATTGATGGTTTATTTCTTTATTGTCCATGTCCCACATTAAACTGTAAGTTCCATCAGGACAAAAAGGGAAAAGGATTGATTTATTTCTGGTATCTAGATAGCGCCTAACACATTGTAGATGCTCAATTAAAATCTATTCAATGATTGAAAAAATAAATGAATAAACATAAGATTTGGTGGTATGAAAATCTGCTTTATCAAGAATTGATTGGTTATTAAAAGAGATATAGAAAAAATTGTTATATCTGAGTGTATATTGCCTTTTCTCTAACTTCCTTTCCTATGTATTGACTTGGTGAGGTCATTGTGGTGACTAAATATAGTTTAATAATTTGTTTTATGCCTCTTGGTCTGCCTTTGTATTTACCATTTGTCATTTTTTTTAAATGTCAAGAAGCCAGTTGTTTTAACTAGGTTCTGTGATTCCAATTCTATTAAGTAGATTCTTGATGCATAGTTAAGTTGTATAGCAATTCAAAGAGGTGCTTGGAAACTCTTGACACTTAAGATTTCTGTAGAATATCAATATGCTTTATATTTGCCAGCACAAGGGACTAGTTTTAAAATCTTTGATATACTCTAATATTTGTGAAATGCTCAAAACGAAAAGTGGGTTTTGTGGTAGACTTTATAAATCTGAGCTCTCATTTTCAAGGAGTGAATGCACACTGACCCAAACTTGAGGGATTTCTTGGTCTTTCGAATGTGAAGCCCACTTGTCAAGATTTCATTCAAAATGATAGATTTTTTTTTTTTGGTAGTTCTGGGAGTCTGAGCTATATAGGGTGTTTCATTCATATTTAAATCATAAAGAATTTGATGATCACAACGAGTCATTTCTCTTATGATTTACTTTTATTCAGTTTTTTTCTGTGATTTTGTTTTGTGTTCCCCAATTTATTAGACAAATTTGTATTGACCACATGTTGTGCTGCTGCTTTGTGCTAAAGATTGAAGGAGGGTTAAGATAGTACCTGTCCTTGAGCTCACAGTTTAGTTGGGGAAACAGATATATTAATGGACAAATTACAGTGCAGCTCATTAAGTGTTTGCATACAGATGCGATTTGAGTGCTGTATAAGCACAGTTTTAGAATTTCAGGGAAGCTCTCTATATAGAAATAAATACTACACGGGGTTAATGACACACTTTGATATATACACAAATTGAGAAAAGAAATAAAGTAGAATATTTTCTAGAAATATTAGTTTAGTTTGGTGATTGTTTAAAATAAAAGATAGGCCTAGATCAGGAGGATGCAATTTGGAAGGGCTCTAGTGGTCATTAAACCGAATATCTTCCTTAGGTGACAACTAATATTTCTGTTTTTTTTAATTTTTAAAGTCTTTTTTAGTTTACTTGATCATATACACTTTTGAAATTTTAATAGTTTAGTAAAAAGTTTAATTTAGAGCAATATGACATATTTCAACTAACCCCAGTGACTAGTAAGATGATTAAATATAGAGAATTTAATTGTATTTATATGGATATTAAACCAAAAACACTCACTACTCATGCATTCTCTACAATAAAAAGCCGTCTGTCATTAAAAGTTGATAGTGTGAAAGCAAACATATAAAAACATTAAGATTTTAAAATGAAATCCAAATTTTTGGATAAATTTTTGGCTTATCAAGCATTGAATAGTCTTTTGTTATTCATTCTTTCATTGATATGTAAATATATATTGAATATATTATGTATTAGGCTTTGAGATTAAAAAAATAATAAGACCCTGCCCAGTTGAGTCTTGGAGCATATGGCCTAGGCGTGTGTGAGTTATGCAAGCAGTTATAATAAAGTGGGATAATAGAAGTATTAAATTATGATAGGCTTTAATAGAAGTATAAAATTATAATAGACTCATTGAGGACAAAGCATCTAAGAAGCCTTTGGAACAGAAACAGAAGAGATTTGTCTGTGTTAGGACTTAAAGGATTAGAAGTAGTTTGTCAGATGATAGAAATGGTAGAGGGCAAGACTAAAAGATACATGCATTGTTTAAGTTAGGAAAAATCATGAGATATTCATGAATGAGCGGTTATTTTGGCTTGAATTAAAATATCTTTGGGGGAGAATCTGAGGAGTTAGACCTGGAGAGGCAAGGTAGGGACTGATCATAAAGGACTTTCTAATTCAGCTAAGAAACTTCACTGTTCACATACTGTGACAAAAATTGAAAGAGGGAGAATTGTTAGAAGTCCCTTGCAGTAGTGCAGGTTAGAGGTGCTGATGACAGTGGAAGTGAGGAGAGGTGGGTGGGTGGGTAGGTAAGTGGGTGGGTAAATGGATGGATGGTTAGATAGATAGATAGATAGATAGAGATTTAGAAATATTGGAATTACTGACTGGCTCTGTGCAGGTGTGAGTCTAGGGTCTAGGATGACCCCACATTTTTTGGAAGCAATTACCATTAAGAGGATATATAAACAGGATAAGAGGAAAAAGAAGACATGTTTTGTTTAGGTCACGTTGCCTATGAGGTATTCAGGTATAGTTTGTTTGGTAGGCAGAAGTCTGTGATAGATACAGTGATCGTATAATTTATCTCCCAAGCCAGGACACTTTGGGGAATGAAAAAGCATGTTATCGATTACACTTGGAAAGTTTTCATTCAAGGACCAGTTGAGCAGATTGGGATGACAGGTCAATTTAATGAAAGAGGATATCCATATTCTTATGTTCATGTACAAGAACATGTGCACAATGAGAAAATAAGGTCCTTTCTTATTGTCTGTAATACAGGGATTTTGAAAACTCCTGTAAATTGAAGAACTTATTGTTTTTTTAGAATATTTTGATGAAATGAAAGAATATGGCCCAATTCATATTCTGTGGTCAGCATCAGAAGAAGATCTGGCTGATACTCTAAAAGGTGTTGCAAGCTGCATTGACAGATGCTGTAAGGCCACTGAAAAACGGATGTCTGGACTCTCAGAGGCCCTGCTTCCTGTCGTACATGAGTATGTGCTTTATAGTGAAATGTTAATGGTAAGAACACCTAATTCTACTTCTACCTTAGTTCCTGACCTGATTATATGCTTTATAAAGGCAGTTTCTATTTCTTTTTGTTCACCACTATCTTCCCATCCTAGAAGGATGCTTTGCGTGTAGATACTCATAAATATTTGTTCACTGCATGAATGAATTGATGAGTGGAAGAATATGTTAATAAAAGACAGGAATTTTCAACAGTAGCAACAACAGTTTATAAGATAGATTTGAAGCATCCTCAGTCAAGATTTACATAGGGAGTATGATTAGTTTTTCCAGCCTTTTAAAATTTTACTTTAAAATTTTTTAGCACTTGAGAAATTTCTTTTCATGAAAGAGTTGCTTTCTTGCTTCTAGGTACATTTGATTTAGCAATATATTTAGTATCATTATGTAGAAAGTACTTGAGTAGGATCTTGATGTTTGTTCTGTCTTCTGGGTGCTTCTGAAAAGAGATCCTTCAAATTAACATGTTTCTTTCACTATTTGAAAAGGCTTTTTTATTCCTCTTATATCAGAGTTTTGCATTTAACCTCCTCAGTTCAAGTTAAGGTTTCCAGGTATTTTGGATTTAGCAATGCTATCTGCAAAGCTAATGTTTTTCATCCAGTATTATTCTCTGCTCACAATACCTTGCACAGTTGAACTGATACCCTCAGCTTTCTGGTGTTGTAGGGTGACAGTGGGGGAAGGAGTCAGCTTGCATTCAGTTATAGTCCATTTTTTCTGCCATTTAGACTTGAACCCATGTCTGGTTTCTGTATTCATGTACTCTTGATTTGGGAGGCTTAAAAAATTTTTTTTACTTTGTCTTGTTAAGAAAAGTTCTCTTAGCCTTTCGGCATGATATCTGCCTCTTTCGTATTTATCATGTTTAGGTTTTCCTTTCACAGAATCATTAAATATTTTGTAGGTATTTCGGATTTCTGCTGTTACTTGACTTTGTTGTGATCCTCCCATAAACACACCCTCCCTGCTTCCCAAAGTCCTCTAATGTTTCACTGCTGAGGTGCTTCCTCCTTGCCTCCATCAATTTCCTTGGCTGCATTCCATTGGTTTACTTCATTATTGATCTCTCTTGTGTGGCTGTTCAAAGAGATCTGATTTTTATCATTAAAAATATTATATTCTTTTCCCTTAATTAGATGTTTTGCTCTTTATGTCGGGATGGAAATTATGCAATTTAAGTCCTGTATTACTAAAGGTGTGGAAAAATTATAATAGCAACCGGAATTGAATTATTTTATAGGTCCTCATTTGATTGTATTATTTTGTAGGTTCCTAGGGTATAATCAATAGCACTTATATTGAAGTTGTGCTTCTGTTTTATATTGGAATATTTTCTTCAATGTGAGCTAAAATAATGAAAAATACATGCCTTGACTAAATTTGTGCAGTTTTTACTAGTTGTCTTCTGAAGTCACCTCTTACTTAAAATATTTCTATCTATATGAAGCACAATATTTCATATTTATGGAAACATACATAAAATTAATGGGACTAAATTATAGTATGTGTCATTTGGGTTAGAGAAAGGAAGGGGTTCCTGACATTAATGGCCATTAAACATTGAAGTAAATATAAAAGAATTTGTGATAATTAGTTGAATTTTCTATTCATTTTTTTGAAAACAAGAGAAATGTTCATCTCTTTTGAACGTTTTAAGATTGATTCCACCAGGCACAAAACCAGGGTGAGTCATTTTCAGGATGATTTTTATCCTTAATGCCTCTCAATATTCTCTCAAATACTGTAGAGCCAGCTTATCTGGTTCCATTTAACTGATTTGTGGTTAAGGTTCTTCCCTTCCTCTGAAAATACCCAAAAGACCTGTACTTCACTAAGGCCCTTCTCTTATATGTCCTGCAACTCTGCTCTCCCTGGCTGAGCTGTTTGCTTACCCAGAGTTAGTTTTATTTTTGCCTTGAACTGTTTAGGCCACTTGTGTTCATTATTACGATTTCATTATTTAATTAATACTATGGAAACCAGTGAAAGATGAGTACAAATAAAAAGAATCTTGGTGTCTACAAAGACTGTCTTGGAAGAAAAGTGAGTCACCAAGGGAAAGACATTGAAAAAGACTAGAAAACATTATAAAAGATGTAGATGAATTCTGCACTCCAATTCCTTCACCAGGGTGTATTAACTGAAACGTGAAATCATGGTTATTCAAGAAAACAAGATGGAACTCCTCTCAGAGCAGATGCCATGCTTTCTCCTCAGTCTTGGCTAATCGGTTAATACTTACATATTTTAAGCTAAAATAAAATCTTAAGATGTGAATGCACACTTCAATTTTGATTCCCCACTGTAATTGACTTTGATTAACTATGCCTTTGGAGTCCAATAAGAGGGCTGATTGTAGATACTTTCAGATGTGTAGCCCATGTGCCCTCCCAACTGCAACCAGTTTACACCATAGCACGTATTTTCAGTGCTCCTGTTGACTTTTTTAGTTCTTTGCTCTTTTTGAAGAACTGTACATGCCTAGAGTGCACCATCAAAACATGTCTTTTGTACATAAAGTACTTAAACCAGTAAGGTGTACATTGGGAAAACTAATAAAAGATTATGAAAAAGTTTCCTTTAAATACTTGCTATCAGTTTAGCTTTTAGAGATTAATTTTTTTTTAAGTCATTACACCCCTAGATGACTGATGGCTTGGGGAAGAGATGGTATTTATGTTCTCAAATGTATATTTTTGTTATACAAAGATTATTAAAACTAAGTACAACCTGTTTCATTCCTGTGTTTTAATATGAAGGGTGTCATGAAAAGAAGAGATCAAATACAGGCAGAACTGGATTCCAAAGTTGAAGCTTTGACCTCTAAAAAGGCAGATACTGATCTGGTAAGTTTTTAAATTTCTTGTTATAATCACGTAGAATTGATTGTCTAAAATTTGTATTAGCTCTATTACATGCTTTTTTTTTAAGCATTCAGTAAATGATACTAAAGTTTCTTCCACAAATCGATTATACATTGAGTACCAGGGGAGTCTGTAAGCTTACAATGCTTTTCTGCCTTTCTGTCTTATATTTTTTCTTACAATGAGTAAAGTATGAAGTTAATTCTTTTTAAATTAGAGTGCTTGAATTCAGAAAGTATGGAAAAAAGTACCTAACATTGTTCCAGAAGGTTAGTAAGTACTCAGTAAATAAATCTACTTTTTACTAGTTTTATAAGAAATTTGTACAAGGTAAGTTGGTGTTCCTATACATATTTTTCTAGTTATTGTAAAAATCTTTACAAAGGAAGTATCTTCATTTTCAAGTTTAATCCTTTTCTTAAAATACTTTTTTCATGGAAATTTTCAAACATAAAAAATGATCTAATAATATAATGAACTCATTTACCCACCACTGGGCTTCATTAATTCCCAGCATTGTGCCCAGTTTTTTTCACCTATTTCTCACTTTTTGTTTTTTCTGAAGTACTCTAAAGCAAATATCAGACATTATATTTTCACGCACAATAGTTTAGCATTTATATTTTCTTGTCTTTGCATGTTGTCATGATACTATCAGATCAGAATTGTTATCATTTTAAAACAGAGGAAGAGGCTTGAAACGTAGAGTAACTTGCCCAAATTTATATAGTTCTTGAAACAGAAGTAGGACTGGAGGTAAGAGTATCACTTGCCTCCCTCAGACCATGCTGCCTCTCAGAGAGCAAGTATAAAAGTTGGAGAAATCACTCATTACTTTAACTTTTATTACATTTTCTATGAAAGAGACTTTCCTAATTTTATTTTTAATTTAAGGGTTTAGAATACACTTATGTCAGGTGAATGGGGGAGTCCTTGAAACACCCCCCCAGCCCCCAACCCCCCCGCCCCCCGTTAATCCGTAGTATTATTGCTGCCCATCCCAACTTGGCTTGGGAGCTAACCTCCCTCCTCCCTTCTTTAATTTTCTCTCTAGCTTTAATAATTTTCTAACACAAAAGATGAAATTCTTACTGGTTTTCTTTGTATTATCTTTCTCTTTCTCTCCCTGTCCATAATCTAAATACCTTGAGGGTAGGAATTTTTTAATTATTTCCTGAAGTATTCTCAGCCCAGAGAACAGTGCCTGGTACATGGTGGTCACTCAATAAATATTGTGAATGAATGAAACTTGCAGTGATTGCTTGGCTTCATAAAAACATATTGAACATTTGAAACAATAAGTCTCTACAAAATCAGACTTTGTGTAAAATGTTGAGATTTCACTAAAACGTGATTATGAATTATCCTCACCTTTCTTAACTCTGCTTATTTTTCAAACTCAAATTTATTCTCCTGCATGGAGTGTGAGTGGGGAGTGGTGGGCTGCTGTGGACAGAGTAGGAGAATGGAATCTGTGAGAGAGACTAACAGAAAATGTAGAACAAATGGAACTAGTGGTCGAGGGGGAGCTCTTGCTTTTACCTCAAGATGAGGAGAAAAAAGAGGAAATCCAAGATTAACCTTCTCAATACAGTAAGGGATAAATATATATACACATTTATATATATTTATATTATATATATACACACACATATATGTACATATATATATATTTTTTAATTTAAAAAGTCAACTGGAATGAACAGAGATGGGTGAGCACATGTACAACAATAATAATTGTATCATTGTAACTGTAGAATGTTTTTATTTGTTAAATAATTTCTAAAGATATTTAAATTTGTGGGATATTGAAATTTGTGATTAGATAAAATATTGCCCTTGACTAAATACTAGGAAAAGTACAGTATTTTAAAGTTTCAGGAGAATAGTAAAATGGCTTGAAAACCAAGCATCTGTTCAGAATGGCTTATATTCGTATTTTAAATTGAAAGGAAGAGTAGTTGGGATTGTTCCAACCACAAAAACACAGGAAAAAATAGTTTAGGCCCAAATATGGCTAGGCTTTCCCAACTCAACTAAAAAACACATTTTTTCTTTTCATTTGACTTGCAAATATTTTGTCTTTTGCTCTATAAAAATTTCCTTGATATCTCATTATAACCTGATGATCCATCTGTATTTTGGATTTCATTTTGTGTGTGTGTGTGTGTGTGTGTGTGTGTGTGTGTGAGACATGTCCACTATAAAGTATTTTTTACCTAGTTAGCTGCTATGTTGTAAGATTGGAGAAATTTGAAACTTTAATTATCTGCATTATATTCTGTAAGATAATTTTTATTAAGGTTTGAAACAGAGAAAGTATTTTTTTGTTTCCCATCAAAAACAGATCCTAAAATGCATAGGAACTAATTTAATGATTTGTGAATAGTACCATTTACATTTTCAAGCAGTTTATTTGATTACAGACCTCACTTCCAAATACCTGTGTGTTACGATGATATCTTTGGGAGCAACCTTCCAGGGTTACTCTCAAAATGAACCTGCTCTGATTGGTTGCAGAACAACTGAAGGGAAGTTGCTTAGAAATATGCAGGATAGGGTCACCATGGAAACGTGCCCTTTTGAGGTCCTTCTAAGGAGCCCTCCTTTGCAGTCACCATGGAGACCCTGGCAGAGAACTGAATAGAGCAATCTAGCCTGGTTGTTTACCATGGCAACTCAAGCAGGGCACTTTGGAGACAACCCTGGGGCCATTTCTATGGAGACCTGCTGGGGCTACCTTCAGAAGCTCCATCAAAGTCACCTTTGGGTGGGAAGTTATATGCAAACTGGGCAAAGCAACTCATAATGCAAAGGTCAGTGAAATGAAGCTCTACCAAGAAGGGCAAACACTAGTGTAGTTATAATTATTGGGTAGAAGTAGAGCACTGATGTAACATTCCGGAGGTCATGTTAGACATATCAGGTGATTTTTATCAGGTGGGCTACGTGGCATGCAAATACAAGGCTCTTGTCTTTTACCGTGCCTGTAACTTTGTATATGCTGTAAATTGGCAATTATGACATTATTATTACTTTTTTCTTATCACACAAACATGCTCACAAAAATTATGTGTTTTCCTGCAAAGGAAAATAATGTTTTATAGCGAATTCCTTGATTTATTATCTGGGTAGCTGTAAAGTGGCTGCTTCTTAGAGTTTGTGGTTTATACTTCTTATCTCACAGCAATAAAATCAATTGTTTCGAAGTGACCTAAACTCAGTAAAGACTTGTAGAATACTCATTTGAAGGTCAGTTCAGCTGTTGATTTAGAGTTTTGTCATTTAGGCTTTGGAATTAGATAGACCTGGGATCAAATCTTAGCTTATCTGTTTATTAAGTCTTAAGGCACATTTCCTAACATTTTTTTTTTTTTTTATTGCGGTACGTGGACCCCTTACTGTTGTGGCCTCTCCCATTGCAGAGCACAGGCTCCGGACGCGCAGGCTCAGTGGCCATGGCCCATGGGCCCAGCCGCTCCACGGCATGTGGGATCCTCCCGGACCGGGGCACAAACCCGTGTCCCCTGCATCGGCAGGCGGACCCTCAACCACTGCGCTACCAGGGAAGCCCTTCCTAATATTTTTAAGCCTCATTTTATCATGTATAAAGGGGGACATTGTTAGTACCTTTCTAATAGGCTTGTTTAAGGATCAAATGATACAATGCAAGTCAATTATTTGGATTATAGAAAGCACTCAGTGGTTGTTAGCTGTTGTTATTTTGATGGCTTTACAGAAGTAATACTTGAGATGGGTCCTGTAGAATGAGTAAGTAATTGTTGCTTGAAGACTACTGAGTGGATATTATGAAAAGTAGTAAAGGCTCAAAAAAGTGTGCTAAACTGAGGAACCCTGGTTGATGTGTAGAGAGCAGGGTACAGGAGAATTGAGGGATGTGGCTCTAAAGATGGGCCGCAGTCAGATGGGAAAGGAGCCTTAATTGTCAGGATGAGGAATATGGGCTTTTTCCTTTGGACTGTGTGGATTCAGCGAGAGCCTGAACTGAAGAGGTGGTAGTGGAGTTGCAGAGCAGAGAAATTTGAGAGAGATGTAGGTGGAAGATAGAATCTGAAGCGCTTAAAGAATGAGGGTGGCCCTTGTTTCAAGTTCTTAGTGACCCTTGACATTTCTAGATTGTAAGGAAAGCAGATTGTGGCTTTACAAATTGAACTGTAGCATATAAGAGGAAGAAGAAAATTGGAGATGTGCAACTTTATGTCATGATGAGATGGCATTTAAGGTAGAAGTATTCAACGAAAACCTTTTAACAAATGTTTTTAGGTACCTAACATATAAAAGACGCTATTCTAAGCACTAGGGAGACAGTGGTCAAGAAAGGCCCTCATGAGTCTTATATTCTAGTGATAGAGACAGTAAGCAACAACTGAAACTTATAGTGTATTGTCATATAGTGATAAGTGTGGAGAAGAGGTAGTGTTGGGGAGCAATGCAATTTAAAATTAGGGGTTAGGAAAGGTCTTACCGAGAAGGTGATTATGTAAAACCCAAAAAGGTGAGGTCTTGAACTACATGAATACCCGGCAGAAGAAATTTCAGGCAGTGGGGACAGTAAGTGCAAAGTGGAAGTATGCCTGCATGTTTCACGAAAAGCAAGGAGACCAGTGTTGCTGGAATGGAATGAGGTCGGAGAGGTCGCCAGGGGTCAGATCATGTAGAGCCTTATAAGATTTGGTCTCAGCAAGATAGGAAGACGACAGTTGAACAGAGGAGTGACATGTTCAGAATTGTTCTAAATCAATTACTCTGCTTGGGAAGGACAAAATATAATGTCTATGTGGAGTGTGTATGGACTGGGAGAAGGCCAGAGCTGGAGACTAGCTCTTCCAACCCCAGTGAGACATCATAGTTTGGACCAGGGCAGAAGTGGTGTGGAGTGGTCAGATTCTGAGGATATTTTGAAGACAGAGAGCTGTTTGCTATTTGGTGGACTATGAATTGTGAGTGAACAAGGATTATAC